ATTTGCCGCCTTCGCGTCCTCTTCTAGCACACTATCCAGAGCAATTTTTAGCAACAAATGTTCATTGATGGCTGCCAGTCAAGCCGATAAGGTTACATGGCCATGGGTTGTCCGATACAATCCGTCACCCATTTGTGTCGATGGCAGTGTATGCAGAAAAGGCGAGTTAAATTGTCGACTTGGAGTTAGTTACAAGTCTTCTGTGCCTTATACTGTGATACAGTCTCGAAAGTGACTGTCATATGACAAACACTGGGACAGCTATTCAACGTGGCAGCATCAAGATGTTGAGGCCCTTAACTGGTGACAGCGGTGGCCGTAGTGGTGGCAGTGCACTTCAGATCTGGTCAACAAAGATAGATGATGCAGCCTTAATGGCTCAAAAGTTGGGTTAAACGGACCTGTCTATGGAGAAAGTTGTCACTAGCAAGAAAAAGTTCTTAAGTTCAGTCTTTTGGTTCATTTTTTACATAGAACTCCTGTTAACTAATTTTTCGCAAAGGCGTGGTGCAAGAAAACATGCGGATACGATGTGGTGCAAAATAATTTGCAGCGTCCGTACAAGAGGAGAAGCACAGAATGCTAAAATGCTAGCTACCTTAATCCAAATGGAACGGGAATTTTTGATTGGAGATCGCTGAAATGAAGTCACTCTAATTTGAGTGGTGAGTGAGCTTACTGCACCGCTACCAGTGATTAGAAAAATATCCCGCAACCACCTAATCAGCAGTCAATTTTGGCCTGATGGCAACTTCGATGATTTCCGCTGGAGTTGATCAAAGGCAGAGTTTCGCTTCCTTTTGACTGCTTAATTAACCCAGAGGCTGACTTGTCGGTAATTTGTCTCATCGTTAGCGATGATCATCACTGTACAGCCCGGAGTGAGAGAGCAGTCTCGCCTCACAAACTGAAGTGAAGCACAGCTTGTGTTGGTGATGGGAAGTGAGGGCATTAATTCCTCCTCAGATTGCTACACAGTCTCCTTTACATCGGCCAACAAAGAGGAAATGAATTCTGTGCGCATACCTTGTTCAGTGCAC